ACATTTTTTTTGTTGATTTGCTTTGTTTTGTTTTTTTGAATGTCCAGAGGACCAGATTTAACTTTTTTAGACTATTTAACTTTATTTATTTTATTTAGTTAACTTTTATCTAATAATACGCTTATTTCTGCTATTAGTTAAATTTCTAGTTTTCGCTTTAATTCATGGCTTGCTAACTTTTGCTTTTAGCTATGGTTACTTTTTATCTCCGTGTAGCTACTCCTTTGTGATATTCTCTTAGCTTTGTTTATCTCAGTTTCAGGTTTTAAAGCAGACTTCAGCAGTCATTCATCATTCACACTACATTTTTGCAGAAAATACTTCTTTTCTTTTTTTTTACCTTGACGGAGCAGTTTTTCAGACAAAACCTGTTTGTTTTGTTTTCTTCTTAAAACCTTAAAACCTAACAGTCCTTGCTCCATTCGCCTTCGGGTAAAATGTCTTGATGGTATCAAGCCATGGAGAGCTTCAGATTTTTTTTTTAAGTTTTAATGATAAGAAAACTGAAGTCATTGTGTTTAGCCCTAGCTCTACTGATGTCTCTGATCCTGTAAATCTTGACTCTCTTCTGCCTTATCTTGAGCATCTCAGGATGGTTTTAGACTCGGACTTTAAGTTTAATAAACAGATTAACTCTGTCCTATAAAAAAGCTTCTTCCAGTTAAAGCATATAGCTAATCTTCAGTCTGTGCTGTGACCTGGAAAAAATAGTCCATGCATTTGTTACAACCCGGCTGGACTGTAACGCACGTTATGTTGGTTTCACCAGTTTTGTCCTCCCTTCAGTGGCTCCGTGTGTGTGTCAGAATAGATTTTAAAATTCTCCTGTTGTGCATTAATGGTCTTGCACCCTCACACATCTCTGATCTACTTCAAACTTATGTTCCTTCTCAGGCACTGAGATCATCTGATCTTGGTTGTACCAAAATCAGGTTGAAGCTCAGAGGAGATCTGTTTTTTTCAGTCATGGGCCATAAACTCTGGAACAATCTGCCCCTCAACATTAGACAGACCACTTCACTTCCTGCTTTTAAATCTCTCCTAAAAACACACCTGCATTCAGCGATGTTTAACACAGTATGATTTGATTTAGTATTTTATTGTTTCTCATTGTTTTTGTGTTTTTATGTATTCATTTTGATGCTTTTAATTACATCTTGTTATTTTTTTCTTTAATTACTGCCTTGATCTTATCGTTAAGCACTTTGGTAACAGCTGCTGTTTCAAATGTGCTTTATAAATAAATTTGACTTGACTTCTCCATCAGAAGTCCTGGCACGCTGTAAGGCTTGAGGGCAGAGTCAAAACCTTTCAGGATCTTCACAGCAAGACATGGTTTCCACTTCCCTCAACCAGCCACAAGAAAGAGAGTGCCCCCTCTATTTTAAACCATGCAGCCTTTAAAAAATTAGCCTGTAACATTTTTAATTAAGAGGTGTGGCACCAACATTTACATTTTCTATATGAAAATAAACACACACTTAACTAAATTAAATCTCTAGAAAAAACAAACATTTACGTATTCACATTCAATTTTAATTTAAAGCTAAACAACAATGTAAACCCAACCAGAATCCAAAACATATCCCCTCCCCAGTCAGTGTATTTTTTCCCAGTAAGGATGATTGAAAACACCAGTTCCTTGTCAGCACTGCTCATGGGCGTGTTTCCATGGAAACACATGACCCGGTGACCTCAAAGAGGAGAGAGTGATGAGAACAACAAAATCCATACATACATCCATACATCCATTATCTTTTACCCGCTTCTTCCTTTTCAGGTCGCGGGGATCACTGGTGCCCATGTCCAGCCATCATTGTGTGAGAGGTGGGGGACACCCTGGACATGTCTTCAGTTTATCACAGGAGCACATGGAGACAAACAAGACAAACAACCATTCACTCTCTCACTCACACCTAGGGACAATTTAGAGTTACCAATCAGCCTAACATGCATGTTTTTGGTCTGTGGGAAGAAACCAGAGTACCCGGAGAAAACCCACGCATGCACGGAGACAGCATGCAAACTCCACTCAGAAAGGCCCCTGGACCGGGGTTTGAACTGGGATCTGCGCGTTGAGAGGCAGCAACAACAAAATCTTAAAGTTAAATTAATAAATATATCACCAGGTTTAAACCTTTTCCCAAATACAAACAAAAAATACATTTATGAATGAAGTTCATTTACACTTACAGCACATAGCATAGAAAGTACCAGAGCCTTGTAAAGAGACTCTTTACAGGGCTCTGGAAAGTACATAAACACAGCACCTGTAAAGGGGGTAAATCCCTCACACGCGCCCTCTAGCGGACCGACGCGCTCCTGCACGCGCCTTGTTCTCCTCGGTTAGACACGCCCCTCAGAAAAACCCTCAGAAACGAAAGCGAAATCCCGGTACATTTAAAGTTCTGTCATCAGAGCTGCTGGTAGGCTTCTCTCTTCCTGCTTTGCTCTGTTAATTTGTTTGTTTATTGTTGTTTCCCCCCTGGAAAACCTTCATCCGGCTTCGACCCGACCTTAAAACCCCTGAATCATCAAGCAGGAAGCTGCGGGACCAAACATGGCAGGACCCGGCGAGATCGACGAGGGTTTCTACTCCCGGCAGCTGTAAGTACGACCAGCAGGTGAGCTGTAATTGTTCAGATCGCACACAGAGCCCATGTTGTTCATGAAACCTTCTTACAGGTACGTCCTGGGTCACGAGGCCATGCACAGAATGGGAGCAGCTCAGGTCCTCGTAGCAGGAATGAGGGGGCTGGGGGTGGAAATAGCCAAGAATGTGATCCTGTCCGGAGTAAAGGCCGTGACTGTGCAGGATGAGGGCCAGGCTCACTGGTCTGACCTGTCATCACAGGTACTTTAAGGAAAAACACACAAACATATCAAATGATTTCACTTCCTGTTTGTGCAACAAGTTTCTCCTTATGTTTGTTCTCTATATTTAAATGTGAGATCAGGTAATTATCTCAATTTAACACAATCTCAAAGACTCTGTTTTTACATAAGAAAAAAGTAGAACATGTCAGTTAATGAGAACAGCTTTAGCTTTCATTTTGTTGAACATTCCACATCCAGCTGTAAAATCACATCCTTCTCTGCTTCAGGAAATAGACACAAAACACGACGAACAACATTGTGAACATTCAATAAAACCGAGTTGCTTTGACAGCTTGTTGTTTCCCCATCTTCAGTTTTTTCTGCAGGAGTCTCATCTCGGCCAGAACCGAGCCACATGTTCTCTACCACAGCTGGCTGTCTTAAACCCACATGTGCTGGTATCGGCACACACCGGACCGCTAGATGAAGACCTGCTTCAGCAATATCAGGTTTTTCTTCTTTTTGTTCATGGTGGAAGTAAAGACGTCAACTAAGACAGCTCTGATATTAAAAGCGAAACAAACAATAAAAACACCAAAGTTCATGCTCAATTATCTGCCTGTTAGTCAGGTCATCTGGACATTTTTATTTATTTATTTGTTGAGATGTTTCATCCTTCATCCAAAGGATGCTGTGGCTCCTCAGACTGATGAAGTCCTTTGGATGAAGGACAAAATGTCTCAACAAAAAAAAAAAAAAAAAAAAACTGTCCAGGTGACCTGACTGAACTTTGTTGTTTTTTTTTACCTGGATTATTGAGCATGAACTTTGATGTTTGTGAACCACTTTCGCTATGGCTGCCTCAGAGGAGTCGACAGAGGAGAGGGCAGGCCCCAGAAACCATCTTATCACCAGCAAGCTGGTTGGTCCACTATGGGAGTGTGCTGCTTGTGGGATTAAGTTTGTTGTGGCTCCTCAAACTGAAGAAGTCCCTTGGATGAAGGACGAAACGTCTCAAAAAAAAAAAAAAAAAAAGAAAGAAACCATCCAGATGACCTGACTGAACATTGTTGAAACAAAAAAACTTCCCACTTTCATTAAATGCAAGTTTCAAAAGGTCCTTGGATGTCTTTGTACAATAAATTAAATAATAAATACAATAATAAATGAGCAGTTTATTTATTTTCCAGGTGGTGGTCCTCACTGACTCCTCCCTAGACGATCAGAAGCGTTTTGGTGAATTCTGTCATTCACGTGGAATTAGGTTTATAGTCGCAGACACAAAGGGTCTCTGTGGGTAAGAAGTGGGGGAGACCATCTTTAAATAATAAATTTGCATATGTGATAAAGAGAGGTATAAAATCTGTTTTGTGTATTTCCAGACAGCTGTTCTGTGATTTCGGGGAAGAGTTCGAAGTCTTGGACCGGGATGGAGAGATGCCCGTGTCGGTGATGATAGAACGAATCACGAAGGTAAACGTTTGATTATTTGAGCAAAACCGGCTTAGTTTCACTTGAGAACGTCTACACTTGTAAGTTTTGTTTATTCATAAATAATCTGTACTAAATGTCTTGTTGGAAATCCAAAATTATCCATCTTGTTTACGAGCCGCCTCTGATTTATCTGATTAAAGTCTTACTACTTCCTGAAACAAAAATGTGCCAAGGTGGGGTCTAAATTTGTTAAGAGGCCCATGGGCATAAATGCCAGATTGGTTTGGGCCCTTGATTTTTTATTTTTATTTTTTTTTTTTACACTTTTATTTCCTATAGGTAAATGGATAGTAAATGGACTGTACTTATATATTGCCTTTCTATCTTATCAAGATACTCAAAGCACTTTACAGCACAATCTGTGTCCTCATTTACCCATTCGTACAACACTACTAGATATGTACAAAGAATAATCAGAGCTTTATCACATTCATACACTGATGGGACACACATCGGAGGCAGTGAGGGGTTCAGTGTCTTGCCCAGGGACACTTCAGCATGTGACTGCTGGTGGAATCAAACCCCCACTCTCGCATTGGAGGACGGCTTCTCTAACCACTCAGCCACAGCTATAGGTGGAATGTTTATACAATTCCAATGATTTATGAAAACAAAAAACGTGTTCACAGATTAGTATTATAAATTTTTGGTGAAATTCCACTAAATTATACATACAGGTTCAAATATACAGGTGCATCTAAAAAAAATTAGAATATCGTGAAAAAGTTTAATATTTTGTCAGTCATTTTAGAAAGTGAAACTCTTATATTGTATGGATTCGTTCAGCAATGAGACATTTGTAGCTCATGTCTAGGAGTTAATCAGCTGATTAGGGTGTGACACCAGGAGTTTACAATATTGAACCTCTTCACAAGAATCTAATTTTCTGAGACACTGCATTTTGAGTTTTCATTATTTGTAAACTAAACTCATGAAAATTACACCAAATAAAGGCTTGAAATATTTCACTCTGTGTAATGAACCTGTTTTAAAATGTGAGTTTCACTTTCTCAAATGTCTGGGTAAAAAAATTGACCTTTTCCACAATTTTAATTAGATGAATCTGTGGACTTACTAACATTGTTTAATCCATTTTGTGCAATGCACCAGCGCCACAGCATGATGATACCACCACCATGCCTGACTGTTAAAACAATGTTTTCAGGTTTTAAAAGCCTGACCACGACTCCTCCAAACATACTTTCTTACCATCCTTTCAAACTTTCAAGCACCACTGTAATATACCTTGTTGAGTTAAGACATTCTATAACCTTCAGTACAATTATGTCATATTTAGATGGATATATGTTTACATTTGAGCCTGCATGTTAGATTCTGATCAAGTGAGGATTAGTGCACCCAGCTTTAAATCCATGAAGTTGTATGTTGTATATTTTCTACCCTGGACAGAGAACTGCTCAATTAAATCAATTAAATCCCAAATTATTATGACATTCCTGCCCATGCTGAGTATACGTAAACTTCTGACCACAACTGCATGTTTGATTATTTCTCTTTGGTTTTTCTGCTGAACTTTGTTTCAGGACAATCCTGGAGTTGTCGTCTGCACAGATGACCAGAAACATGGACTTTCAGATGGCTCTAAAGTGACATTTTCTGAAATCCAAGGCATGACGGAGCTCAACACTCTAGGCCCCGTGGAGATCAAAGTCTGTGGTTGGTGTTGCCTAACTCCAAATACTTTGGATTGTTTGTTTGTTTTTTTTCTCAAAGGCTGGGGAGGGTTAGCCTCTATCAATTCATCTGAAGATGATCATCATGATTAAACTCTTGCTTCATGTTTTGTCCCCAGGCCCGTATTCATTCAGCATTTGTGACACTTCAGTGTTTTCTGAATACGAACGAGGTGGAGTAGTAACCGAAGTTAAACAGCCACATAAGCTAAATTTTGTAAGTTACTTTAACATCACCTTTTGGAGAAAAACTGTACCCACTGATTTGTTAAATACATGTTGCAGAAATCACTGAGCAAGGCTCTAAATGAGCGCGAGCTGCTGACGCTAAACGACTATGGAAAAATATCCAGACATAACACTCTACACCTGGCGTTCCAAGCCCTTCACATGTTTGTGAAGGAGCAGAAGCGTCTTCCTCGCTCTTGGTGTCAGGTATGTTCCAGATGTGATGAGATTGGATGCATATAATCTCGCTCACTTGAACGTTTTTACTGATTGTTGATAATCTCATGCAGTCGGATGCAGATTCGCTGTTTGCCATCGTACAAAAGCTGAATGCGACGGTAGAGCTGGAAGAACTCGATGAGGCTGCAGTTCGAAGCTTGTCCTTCACCGCTCGAGGGGATTTGGCTCCCATGAATGCGTTCTTTGGAGGACTAGCTGCTCAGGAAGTGATTAAGGTGAGGTCTAAAATCAGTTTTTGGATTGCTTTAAGTTTCTCTTTCACACAGAAGCACAAACTTCAATAGATGTAACACCCTCCTAATGGTGTTCAGGTGTTCCTAATATTGACAGTGTTTCCTGCAGGTTGTGGGGTGGGGCTTAATTCAAATAAGTAGCCCAGTTATCAACTGCTGGTACCCGGGTCATATCCCATCCATAAATTCCTTCCTTTTGGCGCATGAAGTTTTCCATAATAGATTAATAATAGATTATGTACAATTTGATCCTGGAATCGGATGTGAATGACAGCAGTTTTGAGTCGGGCAGAGCGCTCGCACACGGACCATGATTAGGTTTATAAGCAGTCTTGAATTGCTGTAGTGTCACGTTGGAGCTGGTTAGTTCAGTTGGACGAGAGAAGTGCTATAAATCAAGCAATCCTGAGGTTAAGTTCCACATTGGCTATGATTTAGTCTGGACAGTCTTGACCATGTAAGAAGATGTGTTACATCTCAGTAGAACTGTCTTGTTTAAATTAGAGCTGTCATTTCTAACCTGAACCCGGAGCCCAGTCCGTCTCAACCCGGATTAGGGCCCGGCCATAATAATGTGCTTAATGTGGAGGCCGGTCTGGTGTCGGGCTTTTGATTGCGTCAGTGGACGCGCGCGGCTGACAATCCAATTATATGGCAACATGGCTTGCCTTACAATCACCAGCCACTGGTGGCAATTTGACCGTGCGCTGACCGGCCTTGAAAGAGGTTTTGAAAAAAAAAAAAAAAGTTCAGTTAAACTTCAGATGGGACTATACTGCTAGGCACCAATCCATCAAAGCCCAAATGGACGTTCATTCAGCCGCTGAACACAGCAGACGCGTGCGGTCAATGACCCAAACAGGTGAGATCATAAAATACCCGACATGTCAAAGCAGGGTCCATGTCTGAATAATGCAGAATGAAGGCAGAAACAGGGATTTAATGCGCTTTGACGGCCATGAAAGGACAAACACCCCCTCAGCTTCGATCTTCCCCCTTAGCCGTGCATGTCTGGCAACTGTTAATAACTATATAAGCAGTCAAACTTAATTAAAAATGTCGGGGGTTCGGGTTCGGACCTGTACTGTTAATTTGTTGGGTGGGGTGGGGTTCGGAAATGAAGGCTATGGGCTGGGGCTGGGTCAGGTCGGATTTTTTGGGGCCTGAATGCAACTCTAGTTTGTATAAGACTAGGGTAAATAAAATCTACAACCTTGGCTAAATTCAGAGGGCAGCATGGTGGTGCAGTGGTCAGAGCTGTTGTCTCTCAGCAAGAAGGTCACAGCATTGCCTCCAGCCTGGGGCCTTTCTGAGTAAAGTTTGTTCTTAGTAAGTGCATGTGTGGGTTTACTCCAGATATTCCGGTTTCCTCCCACAGACTGAAAACATTCATGTTGGGTTAATTAGTAACTCTAAATTGTCCCTAGATGTGAGTGACTGTCTTGTTTTTCATCATGTATCCCTGTGTCCCCCGCCTCTCACAGTGACTGCTGGAGTTGGACACCAGCTCTCCATGACTCAGAATGGAAAATGTGCTGAAAACAATGGATGGATAATTGGTGTGATGGATAATAAGTGCAGACGTTAATTGGACAGTTATGATAAGGTTTAGACATCTATAGAAATATTTTTAATCAAATTCAAGCCTTGATCTCTAAGAAGAGTTCAGACATTGTTTAGATGCTTTTTTTTTATAGTCCCTAAAATTCTCCCGTGGGTTGTCTAACTCACTGTATGGTGATTTACAACTTAAAAAGAGATTTTGTCATCTCTGGCTTAAATACTGTAAAGCTTAAATAATAATGAGGTTGTTTCCTTAATGACCCTGATGCCCCATCAGATTGGGTCTGGGGGAGAGGGTTCTCAGTAGTTTTATTGTTGTGACTGATTAGTATGTAGCTTTAATGATTTTTACTGAACGGCTGTTGTATTTTTTTGACATGTTGTATTGCAATTGTAGTATTGTATTTATTTCCCTCTGTTGCTGTAATGTCCTTGTAGGCATGTAGTGGGAAGTTTACCCCCCTTCAGCAGTGGCTGTATTTTGATGCACTGGAGTGTCTCCCTGAGGAGGTGGAGAGTGTCTCTCTGGCAAAGAGCTCCTTTTTACCAGTATGTTTGGCTCTTTCTCCACTTGAAACATTCATGTTATCAAACGGTCTTTCAGAGAAAGACTGTGATGTAATTTGAGTTCTTTTGTTTATCTCTCTGATAGAAAAGCTCAAGGTACGATGGACAAATCGCCGTCTTCGGGTCGGAGTTCCAGGAGCAGCTCGGGAGGCAGAAGTATTTCCTGGTGAGGACAGTTTAGATATTTGTCCAACAGAGGGCAGACTTGTCTTATCATTCCAGGAGCAGCCTGTGTTTTGTTGTGAATGTTGGCACATACAGGAAATGGAGTTCAGGCGGTGTTTTCTGTCAGCGCTGACCTTTTACTGCAGGGATGTTCACAGCTGTAGCTCATGCACACTTGGTCTAAAGCACTGATTTTATCCCTTTTGTATTTTAAGGTTGGAGCTGGCGCCATTGGCTGCGAGCTTCTGAAAAACTTTGCCCTGATTGGGCTGGGTGCAGGAGAGGAGGGTCACATCACTGTAACAGACATGGACTATATAGAAAGGTCCAACTTGAATCGTCAGTTTCTGTTCAGGTCTAAAGACATCGGGGTGAGAAAACCACACACAATAATCACCTTGTTAACTGTTCTTATTTGAAGGGTTAAATAAAACGGGGAGCTTAAAAAAAAATGGGGCTTTATTTTTGCATTTCTTTTTATTTGCATAATACATCATCTCAAAGATGCATCAGTCATTTTTTTAAAATTTCATAATGAACAGAAACCTAAGTCTGAAGTTGCTGCCAACGCCGTGTGTGAGATGAACCCACAGATAAAAATCACCGCTCATCAGAATCGCCTGGACCCCGACAGCGAGGGGGTGTACGACTACAGCTTCTTCACAGGGCTCGATGGAGCAGCCGCAGCTCTCGATAATGTGGAAGCCAGTAGGGACGCTAGCATTATGAAAGTAATTTTTTTATTCATACATAAAATCAAAAACGTATTTATTAAACTCCTCTTTCTGTTTCCCAGGGGTTTACCTCGATGGCCGCTGCGTTCAACACCAGAAACCGCTATTAGAAGGAGGAACTCTCGGATGCAAGGGTCACACTCTGGTGGTGGTGCCTCATCTGACGGAGTCTTACGGACCGGCCAAGTCAAGTTCCGGTAACGACATCCCCCTGTGCACGCTGAAGAACTTCCCACACCGTATCGAGCACACGCTACAGGTAGAAACTTGAAATTGGTATTTCTGAGCTGCAGTTGTTGCTAGGCTGTTTTTGCTCGACTAAATTGTGTGAAAATATGAAACATTTCAGCTGCAGCCTCACTGACCTGAGTGTTTGCTTCCAAGTGACAAACAAGCTGCGTGAGGACAAAGTGTGTGGCCACTTCTTGAAAATTGCAGTCTATTTTCGCAAAACTGCATTTTTGGTCATGCGGACTCTTTTGTTGTCCACCTCTAAATCAGCTTTTAGACTAACAGTGTGGATGTTTATGAAGCATTCACACTGTTGTGATCCATTTTTCTCCTGTACGTTTTTTTTTTTTTCCAAAATTGTTGTTCTATTTCAACAAATCTTAAATCAAAATGTTCAGCTCGTCCAGGAGAAGGGTGCTATAACTTTTGGTATTGATGCAACTTTAGCTTTTTGAAATATTTAGCCTTTTCTGCCACTTTTTTTCCTCCATAGAAAATGAATTGAGCTCATTTTACATCCTTGAAATCTTTAGATCTGTTTACAACCTTTTACAGCTCCTTTGTCATTTTGTCCTGGTTCAGCTTCTTTCAGCTTTCTTGAGCAAATTAAAAAAATTCAGCTAATTTCAGCTGTTATTTTTAGCTGTTTTATGCTCCCTTTCAGATTCATTATTTCTTTCTGCTAACTACAACATTTTTGTGCCTCTAATTTCTGTCTACTAATTTTTGCTTGTTATGCTCCTTTCAGCTTATTTCTGCAAGTTTCAGCTTTTTCTGCTATTTTATCTACTATATAGTAGTTTATGCTAATTTAAGCTTTTTTCAAATAATTTCCAATGTTTTTGTGTTCATTTTTGCTTCTTTCAGCCTAATTGGGAAAGTGTGTTCTTTCTCCTTTCCTATAATAATTTAAGCTTGTTCTAGCTTTTTAGCTAATTTGATTTTCATGATGATCTCTGCTACTTTCAGCCTATTTAACTTTTTATGCTGATTTCAGCTTGTTATGCTCCTTTCATCTTATTTCTGCTCATTTCAGCTCTTTCTGCTATTTCAGCTACTATTTAGCTGGGGGTTTTTTTGGCAAAATTTAGCATTTCAGCTAATTCCACATTTCTTTAGCTCATTTCAGCTCGTTACACTTGAGTCTGGTAATTTAAGCTTCTTTTTGCCTTTTCAGCTACTTTTTTTTGCTAATTTTAGTTTTTTGAGCTAATTTACCAATTTTTGTCCTAATTTCCGCCTATTTATTTAATTCTAATTCAGCACATTTGTGTTCTTTCTGCTTTCTTCTGCTACTTTAGGCATGTTCTTCCATTTCAGCTGCGTTTCAGATTATTATTATTATTTAATTTTTTTTAGCTAATTCAAGCTGTTTTTCAGCTAGTTCTTCAACAATAAGCATTCACACTGCATTTTCACAGGAAATGGAATTTCTCTACTTATACAATTGGGGTTAATTTCAGTGTAGGATTAAAATGTTTAATTTATGTTAAAACATTGTAGCATTTTTTTTTTACTGGGTGGATTAAATGTCATGCTTTGTGGTGTATAGATCTATATGGAGGATAGAAGGGCAACAGTTCAAATGTGTGTGCATCTTCTCATCACACAAAGTTAACATGTCATCATTGCAGTGGGCCAGGGATCAGTTTGAAGGACTGTTCAAACAAACACCTGAAAATGTGAATCTCTTCTTGAGGTAAGACATGTTTTCACCCTCATTTGGTTTAAATTTAACAACTGGAAAACTGTACTTAATAATTTACTATCACTACTGTTTTCCACTTTTTTACAAGACATACAAAAACTAATCAAAAGGTTTAAGCTCATTTTTTAGGTTTGTAAATGAAAAACTAATTCTGTACAATGAATTCCATCACAGCAGCTCTAACACAGGTTGTTTTTTTTCCCCTAAAAATTGACATAATTCCTTAACTAATTAAAAATACTATTGCTCTAAAGCAGCCTAAACTGAAGGAGAGTGCTGAGAAAGCATGGTAACATTATAGGATTTGTCAGTTCTTATACGAGTTAACTGTTGTAAGATTTCTTTAATTAATAAATATTTGAACTTATTTTATGAAGAACCTTGAATTTACTCGTCTTACCACAAGGTAGTGATGTTACCACAACTAAACCTGAATTATTAAAGCCTGTTTAAAACTGTGTCTGAGCTCCTCAGATCCTTTCTAATCCCGCCATGATGAGGACGTCTCTGTTCATTTAGATGAGATTTCATGTAATCCCTCTCACTGTAAAGTGCTTGCGTAGTTTCTTGTGTATTTAAAAACACAAAAATGAAACTTTCTCGCATGTAATATTTTCCAGTTTATGCAGCTCTGTGTCAGTCGTGCGAACTGTAAGCCACGATTAATGAAGTCATGGAAACGAACAGTGAAATGTTGTGCTGTTGTCCCGACTGTGCAGAACCATGACTCTAATTGTTCCTGTTTTGACCTGTTTACATGCACATGCAGAGGAAGAAAATCCTTTTGTTTCCATGATGCAAAACATGCTCAGAAACATAACTCCTTGAATCAAAGTAAAAATGTGAAAACCTTTTCCTCATAATTATTTGTCTTACTTTTCTGATGGAGAAATTATTTTATTGCAACATCATATATTTGGGCTTAGTCGATGTAATATCTTAGGATGGCTTCTTTTTTTTTTTTTTTACTAAGTCTGGTCTAATTCAAATTAACTGGGTTGCTCAAACTTAGGTTCTTTGGATGAAATATGTTTAATATGTTTAGTCAGAATTGTTTTGAATTCAGTCTTAAGTTAAACACTTTTGTAAAACAAACAGAATATCTCATGCTGTTTGTGTTTTTGTGTCAGTTTGACTGAATCTATGAAAACGAAGCAATCTAACATTCTTTCAACATGTAATTAAAAATTAATTCAACCAACCCAGTCAAGCTGAAGACCAGCAGTAATCATAGGTTGAATCGTTTCCAATAGATAATGTTAACTTAATCAAAAATGTTATTTTTATTTTTTATTATTAGGCAACAGACAATCATTGCTGCTGCCAAAAGGCGAAAGGTGGATAATGTTTCCTGTTTGTTTGTGTTTGCATGTGTTCATTTATCTGTCTGTTGACAAAATATCCCATGAACCACTGGATGAATTTTAATGTAACTCTTAGAAAGAACAAACAAACATTGGATGCACATCTGGAAATGATTAACCTAATTTAACCCCATTTTAAGATAACAGTAACAGCTAATCGTCTTAGCCAACACAGTCATAACTATATGTTAATTCAATTCAATTTCTCTCTTGAAAATGAGTTCTCGTGATTCAATGAGACTACCTGTATAAATAAAGGGTAAATAGGGAAAAAATAATATATATTTTTTCAATTCACTTTATTTATATGGCGCCAAGTCACCAAGTCGTCCCAGGGCACTGAACAGAAAAATTCATATATTAAAATAAGTTAACAAAAACATTCATATTTAAAAGGAATAATTTAATAATAATTCAAAAATAATAATAAAAAAAATGGTCAAATTTACAAACACTGAGCTAAGCTTTGGCATGGTAGTAGCTGAGAGTCATCTTCTGTGTGCTCTGAGCATTATCTTGCTATATTTTATGAGATTCAGCAAAGTTTGAGCAATGCGTCAATAACTTTGTAATTTCTCATCACCTTAGTTTCTATTGACCATATTTTCCGGCGTATAAGTTGCATTAGTAAAAAAAAAGCATCATGAAGAGGAGAAAAGCATATATAAGTTGCTTCGGCGTATAAGTCACATTTATTATGCATCACCGCTGACCCGTCGCATTTATTATACATTTCTTTAATGGTCAAATCGGCTTCATTTCGCATGGGCGGCGGCGTCATCCATCCATCCATCCATCCATCCATCCATCCATCCATCGCGGCCATAGCTGCTAGCTCTCCAGTGTTCCTCCACCTGCACCAGCTGAGTGAAGCAAGCGCGCACGGGAGGACTCGCGGTTGCAGTTCTTCAAAATTTAAAGCATCAGTCAAAAATTGTGTTATGAATATGAAAAAAAAAGTATTTAAGTCGCTTCAGCATATACAGGTCCTTCTCAAAAAATTAGCATATTGTGATAAAGGTCATTATTTTCCATAATGTAATGATAAAAATGAAACTTTCATATATTTCAGATTCATTGCACACCAACTGAAATATTTCAGGTCTTTAATTGTTTTAATACTGATGATTATGGCATACAGCTCATGAAAACCCAAAATGCCTGTCCCAAAAATTTAGCATATCATGAAAAGGTTCTCTAAACAAGCTATTAACCTAACCATCTGAATCAACGACGTAACTCTAAACACCTGCAAAAGATTCCCGAGGCTTTTAAAAACTCCCAGCCTTGTTCATTACTCAAAACCGCAATCATGGGTAAGACTGCCGACCTGACTGCTGTCCAGAAGGCCATCATTGACACCCTCAAGCTAGAGGGTAAGACACAGAAAGAAATTGCTGAACGAATAGGCTGTTCCCAGAGTGCTGTATCAAGGCACCTCAGTGGGAAGTCTGTGGGAAGGGAAAAGTGTGGCAGAAAACGCTGCACAATGAGAAGAGGTGACCGGACCCTGAGGAGGATTGTGGAGAAGGGCCGATTCCAGACCTTGGGGGACCTGCGAAAGCAGTGGACCGAGTCTGGAGTAGAAACATCCAGAGCCACCGTGCACATGCGTGGGCAGGAAATGGGCTACAGGTGCCGCATTCCCCAGGTCAAGCCACTTTTGAACCAGAAACAGCGGCAGAAGCGCCTGACCTGGGCTACAGAGAAGCAGCACTGGACTGTTGCTCAATGGTCCAAAGTACTTTTTTCGAATGAAAGCAAATTTTGCATGTCATTCGGAAATCAAGGTGCCAGAGTCTGGAGGAAGACTGGGGAGAAGAAAATGCCAAACTGCCAGAAGTCCAGTGTGAAGCACCCACAGTCAGTGATGGTCTGGGGTGTCATGTCAGCTGCTGGTGTTGGTCCACTGTGTTTTATCAAGCGCAGGGTCAATGCAGCTAGCTATCAGGAGATTTTGGAGCACTTCATGCTTCCATCTGCTGAAAAGCTTTATGGAGATGAAGATTTCATTTTTCAGCACGACCTGGCACCTGCACACAGTGCCAAAACCACTGGTAAATGGTTTACTGACCATGGTATTACTGTGCTCAATTGGCCTGCCAACTCTCCTGACCTGAACCCCATAGAGAACCTGTGGGATATTGTGAAGAGAAAGTTGAGAGACGCAAGACCCAACACTCTGGATGAGCTTAAGGCCGCTATCGAAGCATCCTGGGCCTCCATAACACCTCAGCAGTGCCACAGGCTGATTTCCTCCATGCCACGCCGCATTGAAGCAGTCATTCATGCAGAAGGAATCCCGACCAAGTATTGAGTGCATAACTGAACATGATTATTTGAAGGTTGGCGTTTTTTGTATTAAAAACATTTGTCTTTCATTGATGGGATGAAATATGCTAATTTTTTGGGACAGGCATTTTGGGTTTTCATGAGCTGTATGCCATAATCATCAGTATTAAAACAATTAAAGACCTGAAATATTTCAGTTGGTGTGCAATGAATCTAAAATATATGAAAGTTTCATTTTTATCATTACATTATGGAAAATAATGACCTTTATCCCAATATGCTAATTTTTTGAGAAGGACCTGTAAGTCGCAGGATTGACAAATTATGCAAAAAAAACCTGCGACTTATACGCCAAAATTACAGTATGTCAGTGTTGTTCGTGTTTTGTTAACTGCACTGTGCTGTGAGCTTAAACGTGTTTTGCTGCATAAAACTGTCCCGTGTGTGTTGGGTGAGAGAAGCACCAACCATGCTACCAAACTGACTTTTTCTGTATGTTCTGCCAGTCAAAGCTACGAATCGTAGAAATACATTTTGTAGATGACATTTCAACAGACTAAAATCGTCTGAGGCATTTTTTTTTAGTGCTTGGTGCAACAAAACACCTTTCATTGTTTTCTATTTAAGTTTATTCAATTGAGTAAAGCTCTTGTTTCAAGTCAAAACCTTTATTCTGAACACTTTGTGGTTTGTCTTGTCTCTCTGAGTAGCCAGTGATTAAAACCATCTGTCCTCTATTCTGTATGCCTGTTACTGAATTATAATAAATTCCTTTGTTTCTTTCTGCAGAGATCCAAAGTTTATAGAGCGGACGCTCACACACGGAGACACCGAAGCTCTGGAGACTCTTGAAGGTGTTTGGAGCAGCCTGCAGGACATGGACGCTGGAGGACAGCATCCAAAGAGCTGGGAAGACTGTGTGAGCTGGGCACGCTGCCAGTGGGAGACACTCTATAACAATGATATCCGTCAGCTGCTGCACTGTTTCCCTCCTCAAGAGGTAAACGCACATTTAATTATTTTATTTTTTGTGTCAGAAAGTGTAGATTATGCTCATGGACACATGGGGGCACTGATGATGTGTGTGAGAAAAATTCATACTGGAGAGTTAAACACTGCAGGGAGACATTAGTGCAAAAAGAAGCATCATATTTCACCAGACCTGGATAAAACTCTGAAAGCAGCTGCTGATAAACATCTCTGAGGGGCTTTAAAGGGCTTGTAATCTGCTGAAGCATGCAGACAGAGTGATGTCACATGTTGCTGTCACACCTGGTGGGGTAGGGTCATGGATCAAATCAACAGACCCCTCACTAACCCTATGTCTTTTGCACTATTGCTGACTGTCTTGTACAGTTATGGAAATTCCTCTGATCATTTTTCCCCCCTCCATTCATGGCTGTTCAAATATTTAGAAATCAAGGAGAAGTCCCTGATAATCTCTTAAAAAAACATTGTTTCCTGCAGTTTTGTCTTTACTAGCTTGCCTAACAGTCACAAAACCACAGCCGCAGTGACGGTTGTTGTCCTAGTTTTGGTTCTCCTTTTCATATTTCCTCTTTCATAGGTGCGTATGTATGACATTTAAAGTTGTATTGTTCTCTTGGAAAGTTGCTTGTTGCTACAGAGATTCTGAGGAACTATGATAAGGTCGCTGATGTTGCTTATGTCACAAGCAAACCTGACAAATAGTACCGGTACGCAACAAACATAGATAACCATACACATGATGTAATACTTCTGGTTTATCGGCGTAGAAGTGAGTGTGGATCTGTATTTTAGCAGGATTGTAAAGTTTTAATATGTAACATTTTATTACAGCAGCAAACCACTTCTTGCTATTTAAAGATTTATCAGAGAAATAATTCTTATTACTAGAGTGCGTGGTCTTTCTTTCTCCTGTGCCAGTTATTTTTATTTTGGAAGCTTTTTGTTGACAGCACACTCGTGTATTCATGCACATCTCCTGTTTCAATATTTCAGACTGTTCCATGCTCAATTTGACAGAGTTTTCTGACAATATTTTGGATGATTTTTGGAGTATAAGTACAAACCTCGGCTGTAAATGTGCAGGAAAGGGTGAACACCAAAGAACGGTAGGGAAAAACACTTACCGGTATGTTTAGGTTCCTAATCATGAGGTTTGGGTCTTTTTAAATACAACGTCAGGCTTGTTTCGGAAATTTGAGAAAACAAAACAGCATGTTAACAGGACTGCCTTGTATCTGACAAGTCCATCCAAAATGTGCAGCATATGGTAAATGATGTGCATTCTTAAAGCAGATGTTTCAACTTGGCTTTGTTCAAAATTTAGAACCATGTTCATGTTTTTATATATTAAAATATAAAAGCACTTTCAGCTTTTTCATTATTATTATTATTATTCTTGAGATGCTATATTCAGAACTAAGCTAAATAGGCCAACCGCGGGGAAAAAAACCTTGGTCTTGTCAAAGTTCCAAAATTCACAGTTGAAACTTGTGCCTTCGTGTAAAATGTTTTTCTCTACAAAATGAAGATGAGAACTTGTTTACTGATTTTTTTTTAATTAAAAGCTTTGTGTGACAAATGTTATGCTAAAGATCTCAAACCACACCGAGTGTCCGCCATTTTGAAAACCGAAAAAAAAAAATAGAAACAGCCCATGCCGTCAAGAGGCCTTCCTCCCATTTTTGTTGAAGATACACGCTGCTCGCTCCTCACTATTCATCCTTTGGTTCAAATAGTTTTATACTGCCATCCAGTGGTCAAAAAGGGTACTACACTCAAAACAAATTGACCAACATTTCTTCTTAAATTCAACAATAATTAGTAATTATTGTCAAATTTAAAACAATATTATCGTTTATCGCAATAATTTAATTGCCCAGCAAATTTGTTTTTTTCGTGACATGCCTAACTGTCATCAAAAAGACTGAAGTTGGCAAAAACTAAAGATCAGAAGAAAAGACACACGAGCATTCAAATTCTTTATACTGTGCGAGACTACAGACACAACAAAAAGACAGAAACCGACAAATATTTACAATGAAATAAACGCTAAATTAATCAGATGTTAATATTTAGGGATGGGAAGTCTGAGTTTGTCATCATTGTATGTTCCCATACAATGGCAAACTTAGTTCTCTGCATTTAACCCATCGCACCTGAGCTACACCCACGTGGAGCAGTAGGCAGCTATGTAAGCACCCGGGAAGCATTTAGGGATTAGGTGTCTTGCTCAGAGACAACACGACATGGGAATGGCTGGGAATCGAACCTGTGACTTTCTGGTCCCCAGTCAGCTACCCTACCTCTACCCCATCTCGGTCCTTAGAGACATTTCTTTAAGATTACTGTAATTGCCTGACTTGTATAAATACTAACTTTAGCCCCAACCATAGAAGAGACAAAGATAACCATAATATACTGTATTTTCTGCCGTACACGTCGTTTCGCACTATATCGCATCAGTCCATATTTGTCTAATAAAGTGGAAAAATCCATAAATATGTTGCTTTGCGGCAGCATGGTGGCGCAACTGGTAGAGCTGCTGCCTCTCAGCGAGCAGGTCCTTGGTTCAAACCACAGTCCAGGGGCCTTCTGGGTGGAGTTTGCATGTTCTCTCCGTGCATGCGTGGGTTTTCTCCAGGTACTCCGGTTTCTTCCCACAGACCAAAAACATGCATGTTAGGCTGATTGGTAACTCTAAAATTGTCCCTAGGTGTGAATGAAAGAGTGAATGGTTGTTTGTCTCTATGTGGCCCTGTGATGGACTTGCAACCTGTCCAGGGTGTACCCCGCCCCTCACACAGTGATTGCTGGACATGGGCAACGGTGACCTCCGTGACCCAAAATGGAAGAAGCGGGTAAAAGATAATGGATGGATGTTGCTTTGTCGTATATGTCGCATCTAATGTGCATCACCGCTGATGCATCCTGTTTGTTACGCGTCACCGCTGACAACCCGAAAATGTGGGCCGAACCCGCAAATGTGGGCCGGTGTTGTGCCAAAAACCGATGGGCTGCCAAATGACGGCCGCGGGAGCGTGCACAGGAGGACTTTAACAAGAATTTAACAAGATTAACACTTAAAAACAATTATTTGTTTGCTCAAAATTTTATTAAAAGTGTGTATCAATGTAATGTTTGCTTAATAAATGCACTTTAATGGTCAAATCATCTGAATTTCAATAGTTTCGCTGCTGAGATGCTGTGAAGCGGGCACGCGCAACTTGACCAGCTGCAGCATTTCTTTAAAATTGAACAAGATAACCACCTAAAAAATTATTTGTTTGCTCAAAATTATAGCAAAGGTGTGTCTCAGTCTAACATTTGCTTAATAAATGTACTTTAATGGTCAAGTCAGCTGCATTTTCCGGAGCGGTGCAGCTGTTTTGACTGTTTCAAACAACGATCAGAATGGAAGTGGGGAGGGTATGGCAGGCCGATTGAGTCATTAATAGCTGGGGAAGATTCTCGGTCATCCAGGACATGGTAAATTCAAAAAAGTTCAAGAAAAAAACAAAGTATAAATAAAGTATAATAAATAAAGTCCAGTTGGTTTTTTTTCTTGGACTTTTTTGAATTTGTCATTATAGCCACATTTACCTATTACATGATGCAACTGCATGCTATACAGCCATTAATACTCTGCTTCCATCAAGTGGCTGAAAGTGGTACTGCTCAAATTTTCTTTCAGTCAGAATGAATGGAAATGGTCATATCTCAGCCAAAAACTGGTTTATAAATATGGGAAAAAAATAAATATGTCGCTTCAGCCTATAAGTTTCAGGGCATGTAAATTATGCAAAAAACTGCGACTTATACACTTAAAAATATGGTAGGTGCTTTCCTTGTTTTTTTTGGGAGAAACTGGTTGTTTTTGTTCTTTTGCCCCTGAGCCATTTGAAGCCTGAATAAACCTGAAGCTGTTGATGCCTTTTGGCTGCAATTGAAAAGCCCCCCTGCAGTGAAAACTGCCACAACTAGCAAATAAACTCTATTCACATTCAGACCATTTGGCCACTTCAAAGCTACCATGTTCCTTTATCAGACAGACAAATTGTGCAGTCAACACATGACTGACAACATTATTGTTTGTACCTGGCTGCCATTCTGCTGCATCTAAAGACCAAAGAGAGGGTTTCAAATTATTTACTGACACCCTGGATTAGCTGGAGAATTTATCCTGCTGAATGGTCTGTCTGAAATATATTAGGTCTCAATATGTGTGGATCAGAAATCCCACTGTGCTGTGACTGGAGTACCACTCTGTGCTACATCGCTTGTTATTTTAAAGAAGAATCATGTGAATAATAAAAATCTGCTCAGACTTTACAGCCGTTTTCTGTTTGTGATAGAGGGATTTCCTTTGGCTCCTCTTTAGGTGACTGCCTCTGGTCTGCCCTTCTGGTCTGGAACCAAGAGATGCCCCCACCCGCTGACCTTTGACCCCAACAACGTGAGTAAAGTCTGGCTCACTTTGTGCAGTAGCACTGCTGATATACACCAAATAGTTGGGAAAAACAAACAACAACAAAAAAGCCACAGTTTTTTGTGATAGCTGTTCACATTCTTTCATGTCCTGATGTGTGCTCAATAGTCCAGGTAGATAAATCGAACAAGGTTGAGTCGGGTCCTCTGGATGAATTCTTCATGAAGGATTTGTCTTTTATCCAAAACTAACTAAAGGAGTCTTTGGACAAAAGACTATATGTTTCAACAAAGAATCCATCCAGAGGACCTGACTCAACCTCCTTTATCTTGTCTGATTGTAACTGTTGTTCTGTTTGAGCTCTTAATTGATTCTTATCAGTGCTAAAGATGGATACAGGTAATAAAAAGAGATGAAGATCTTATGTCCTTGTTAGCAGAGCTGGTTCTGTTTGACAATAAACCAGCAATTGTATAAATTTGATAGTACAATCACAGCTTTATGTTAACGCAAAACTGTTCAAAATGACCCAGTGGGATGTTGAGGGACAGCAAATTTACATGTTACGGCTGTCAAATGTGATTGTTATTGTACTGAAAGCAGAACTGTAGTCTAATGCAAAACAGTTTAAATCTGTCTTGCTTGATCCCTTCTTTACATCAAACAGAAGCTGCTGCCACAAAATGCAGTAAAGCCATGTGCATGCATGGTTGTGTGTACCTATGTGTGTTGCAAGGGAGACAATGGAGCTTTTTGCTGCATCAAATGTTTCTTTGTGTTTAGGGAAGTCAATTGCTCATAAAGAGCAAAGCATTCTTTGTAAATATTATGAACACATATCATCTTACCTGTCATAGAAAGCTTTTTGAACAACATCAGTTTGGAGAAATAGTTTATTTCTGATCAAAATGATAAGCGAACAGCTAGTTCAAGTGAGTCAAAGACAAACATAGATAGATGTTCTCTTTAAACAACCCCACTTTCAAGAACGTTTGTAGTAATTCACGTGAATGTTGTTTTAATAAACAGTGAAACCAGGATGATGAGTTACAACAACATTTTAATTTCCCTTTGGGATTAATAAAGTATTTTTGAATTTGAACTTGAATTTACACTGGTATAAGTTTCACATTTTATGTTTTTATTTACATACAATTCTTTGGTTATTGGCAAACTCATATTGAAGCAACACCTAGCAATGCAAACCATAGTCAATTCTGGCATCATTAAACTCTGCCAGAGTAATTCTGTGATGCTAAATTAACCAGTGTAAAGATTTATAAACAAGTTTTCAGTCAAAGTGCTAAAGTTTTGGGACTGGAACATTTTAAAGATGGTATCAATCTACTTTGGTCTTGGTCAGACTGCATTATGACTTTGGTCTGAATTAAACTCCCGTCTCTTCTTACTGTGGGCCTTCAAAGAAGTGTCTACAACTGATAAGATATTAAGTTTTTATAACATTTCCACATAACCATCTTTTAAAATAGCCCAAATATCCCTTTAATGTGTTGTTCTTTGCCCTCACTACATTTTTTTGATAACCTCTTTTCAACCCACCATGTAATTCTGTCATAAGGTCCTAATTCTTTAGTTATTTTTTATATAAAATTGTAAAAATAACAATACTTGTATACATTTCTTTGTAATCCTTTAACTGTTTTTCTAATATTAAAATGTAAAAAAACTGTAAACATTTGTGTTTTAGACTACTCATATGGACTATGTGGTAGCAGCAGCTAATCTGTATGGGCAGCTCTTCGGAATCAAAGGGACAAGAGACCTCGCTTCCACCAGAAAAGTTTTAGAAAAAGTCCAAGTACCATCTTTTACTCCCAAGTCCTCGGTGAAGATTCATCTTACTGACAAAGAAATGGAGGAAGAGAGGAAAAAGGAGGGTGATGATTCTGGTGAGTCCAATTTAAATGTTTTTATCTTATGTTTTTACCACCTGTAGTCTTCCAACGTCTTTCCCCTTCCTGTGTCTTTGCCTCAGATAAAGCTCGACTTGAAGAGCTGAATGGAAAACTGTCTTCCATGAAAAGCTCTGCTCAGATGTACCCCATCGACTTTGAGAAGGTAGAGCACAAAGATACCTCTGCTGCACACTCCACAGAGGCTGCAGACAGTGACAGAGAGGAGACTGGGCCTTAGCAGGGAGCAACACTTAAATCTTAAAATGCTTTCAGGCTGTGTGTGAGTCTCAGTGACCTGAATCTGAGCCAGGACTCAACACATTCATGAGACAGAGCTCGATTGTACTCAGTATGAACACACAGTTTCTCGCAGTAGAGTTAAATATTTTGGAAAAGTCCTTCCTGTTTTTTTTTCTTCCAGGAATAGGAAAAAGAACAGTTGAGTCTGTGATAAAAATGCAGTACTGTACAGCCAAAAACTAAAAGTCAAGTGTTAAAGTCAGAATTCTGAGTCCACTAATAGTGTGTACAGTGCTTCACATCATCACTTTGTATGATGTTAAATCAATTTTGCATTTAGCTGAAAGGAATACTTCTCAGGAATTCCAGTGACTCTGGAAATGAGGGAAGACCTGGAAAATGACTTTCACATTTTCCAGACAGGGAAAACTCAAGAAATTTGAGAAAACCATCAAAAATCAAGGAAAACTCTGGGAATTAGAACACTAATCTGCTGATACAAGATTATCTTTTTAAAAATTTGACGTACATGTATCAATGCTAGTATTCTAGTATAACTGAGTCCATGGTATGCTTCTACAGTGTACATAATACATGTATCCTTACTGATTGACTGTGATGGCTTTTTATTATATAATGTAAGTAACTAGGGAATTATTTCTCTATGCAGGCTACCATATACTACTTTAGTTCTGAACATTTTGTGTGATGAAATATATCCTTGAATTTCAGAATTTACTCAGGGATAAATCAGGGAAAACTCAGAGAATTTTATCTTGATGCATGCTCAGGGAATTTTGTTTTCATGAAATTCTGGGAACCCTGCTTCCATTACCCTTTTATAATATCTTAAGCAGATGTTTCCTCATAGTCATTCACACCTTAAATTAACTTATTTATTTGGTAGAACTGAGTGTGTAGCAGGTTTTGTGTGAAGGTGTTGTTCCCGTTTTCTATAGGCAAAAAGAAAAACACAGACACATTTCTTAAGCTAGAAATTATATTTGTTGTAAATTGAAATTTTACTCAGAAAGTGTAGTATTTATTAGGAATTTTTCTTTCGGCCTTTCCCTCTTCAGGGGTTGCCACAGCAAGTCATCTTCCTCCATCTCACTTTGTCGTCTGCATCCTCTGTCTTCACTCCAACTACCTCCATGTCCTCTCTAACTGCATCCATATTAGAGTTTCATTCAGGCCTAAAAAAAATCCAACCTGGCCCAGCCCAAACCCGTATCATTTTTTTCCGGCCCGACCAGAAACCAACCAATTAACTGTAATTAGAGGCCCGCCCCGAACCCGAAAAAAAACAAAAACTTTTTTCTTTTTTTAACCAAGCTTTTACTGATTTTGTAAGAAAATCAGTTTGACACGATAGTTTTAAAATCGTATTTCAAAGAAAGGACGGTATAAGATTTCTTGTTTATTAACAAGAGTCAGCAAATTATTATAGTTTTTATAATATTATAGTTATTAACGGTCGCGGACGCACGCATCTGATGATCCAAATGGGGTCGTCGGCTGTGCGCGTCCGCTGACGCAGCGGCTGAGTCCAGTTGGGCTTCGGATGGATCGCTGGTAGTGATCCATTTGAAGTTTAACTAAATTTATTTATTTATTTATTTTACCTCTTTCAACCGGCCAGTCAGCAAGCAGTCAACTGGCTGTGCGCGGCTGGTGATTCAAATTTGATCGTCAGCCGTGCGCGGCTGGTGATGCAGTTTAAAGTCCGACACTGATCCGGCCCGCCCATCAAGCATATTATTTTGGGCCGGGAGTGGTGGCGCAGAGGTTGGAGAAGATGGGACTGTGATCGGAAAAGTCGCAGGTTCAACTCACGGTACCATCAACATCAAAATGTGGGTGGGAAAAGTGAAACACCCACACTTGTCTCCACCCTCATTTGTCCTACTCTGGACCCCTGAGTTCTCGTGACTCAATGAGACTACCTGTATAAATAAAGGGTAAATGGGAAAAGTTTCTATAACCTCTACTCTTCTTTCTCTTTCATTCTTTTGATTTATTAGCTCTTTAAAGTACCCCTTCCATCTCCCCATCACACTCTTCTGACTTGTTAGAACATTATCATTCCTATCTTTAACAAGCCTAACCTGTTGCACATTCTTTCCAGCCTGATCCCTTTGTCTTGCCAATCAGTACAAGTCTTTCTCACCTTCTTTAGTGTCCAGCCTCCTATACAACTCATCATATGCCTTCTGCTTCGCCTTTGCTACCTCTCTATACTCTACCTTGCATCTCCTTATATCCCTGTCTCCTCTCTTCAGTCCTCTCACTCTCGTATTCTTTCTTGGCTAACCTTTTTCTTTGAATAGCTTCTTGCACTTCTCTATTCCACCACCAGGTTTCTGGTCTATTCAGATAACACACCAAGTACCTTCCTACCTGTCTCTGTAATTATTGTTACTGTAATAGTCCAGTCATCTGGAAGTTCTTTCTTACCACCCAGAGCCTTTAACAGCTCCTTTCTGAACTCTTCACAACATTCTTCCTTCATCAGCTTCCAACATTTGGTCTTCTTTTCTGATTTTTCTCTTCTTCACAACAACACTCATTCTACACACAACCATCCGATGCCGTCTGGTCACACTCTCTCCTGCCACAACCTTACAGTCCCCAATTTCCCTCAGGTTTCCTCTTCTACACAGAATGTAGTCCTACATGCGTACTCCTTCCTCCACTCTTAAAGGTCACTTTATGTTCCTCCCTCCTTTGGAAATATGTATTGACTACAGCCATTTTCATTCTCTTGGCAAAATCCACCACCATCTGTCCTTCCTGGTTTCTTTCCTTGAAACCAAACCTACCCATCACTTCCTCATTTCCTCTGTTTCCTTCACCAGCATGTCCATTCAAGTCTGCTCCAATCACCATTATCTCTTCCTTGGGAATACTTTCTATTACTTCATCCAGATCCTTCCAAAATGTATCTTTCTCCTCTACATCACGTCCAACCTGTGAAGCATAACCACAGACAACATTTAGAATCAGACCTTCTACTTCTTACTCCTCTTTCAGCACCACCCCTACTCCATTTCTCTTTATATCCACACTATGGTAAAACCGTTTGAATCCTGCTCCAATGCTGAAAGCCTTGCAGCCCTTGCATTTGGTCTCTTAGCCACATAAAACATCTACCTTACTTCTCTGCATCATGTCAGCTAGCTCTCTACCTTCGTCTGTCATTTTAGTGTTGCCACCCTCAGTCCTACATTCTGACACGTTTCCCTCCTCGTGGGCTTCAACTAACAGTAGCACAATTTCCGCCGGAACCGTTTGTCAACAGCATCGGTAGCAGTCGTTGTCAACCCGGGTCTCGACTGATCCGGTATGGTGTCACTTAGATGATCTCTCATGTTAGTTTTGGAATAATTGTTTTACATCAGATGCCCTTCCTGACACAACCCTCAATATTTACCTGGGCTTGGGACCAGCACAAGAGATTCAATGGCTGTATTCTCTAGTTGCTGATTATTTATTAGGACTGTGTCCAAAAACATTTAACAGTTAACATCATTTTGAATGTAAACATTTTGATTTTTAGCTTTTAATCCAATAACGGCCTTTAAGTTTCTTTGGATCTTTCGATTCTTAGTACTTGCGGAGGGTAACAGGAGTTTTCTAGATGTCTACGTACCCTAAAGTCTTTTTGTCTGTTTACATTCACACTGGTGATAAGAAAGCTAAAGTGATACTGAAGTGAAAAGTTATACTTGGAAAAACCATACATGGCAGATGTTGTTCTAATGATTACAAAGTTGGTTTTTTTCTTATAACAGTAGTGTTTTGTTTTTACGTTTGACCATTTGCTGTACACTTAAGTCTATTCACTATACAGCTACGTCACAGGCACTATTTACTTTTGTGATAAAAGAACAGTTTTTGTGATAGGAGCCTTAAAAATCCCCACATTACGACCTAAAATAAACAAATTATCCTGATTTTTGTTTTTGTTTAATTTGTGGTGTAAATTCAAAAATTAGGATTTTGTTTCCTCTAGTAGGTATGGAAATGATACAAAAAGTTTAGTGGCCCTATATTGGACCTGCCCAGGGTGTAACCAGTCTCTCACTCAGTGACTGACAGGCACCAGCTGTCCCATGACCCAGAAAGAAAATGAATGGATGGATGGATGCAAAATATTTATTCAGTTAAAAAAAGTTATTTTTGTTGCGTTTCCTTCATCTGTTTCTTGTCTTTGCTCAATTATAACGTTTAGTGCTCAGAAGAGACTTTCTTGTTTTGTGCATTACTTAAAGATTAGAAAAAATAATCTCAGCCTGTAGATTTTGAGCAGGAATTTCTTGATCTAAATCAAAGAATATGTGTTGTGGCCAAGACTGTTTTTACACATTTGAATAATTCTGCACAAGTGTTCCTAAAACCTTTCAAAAATAACACTTAAACAACACTTTTAGTTTCTACATACAGCATTGAAGCCTGGAAAATTAAATGAAGCAAATAAAAGAAACATTATTTTAAGGTTTCTTGCTTGAGAAATACCTTTTATATCAGACACAGACCAAAACCAAGAGGATTAGGGAGGATGAAATAGCTGTTTTGAAGCTTTTGAGGAGAAAATCAGGAAGAATTTCAACTGATTTAAAAAGTTTGTCTGAAATTGTGGTAAATCTTGCAGTGACTCAGAATCAAGGTGCATGATGTAAGACAGCCACCTATTGAATGTCGCCTTGAATAAAAATATTCCCAAAGTCTCAGTTTGAGCCCTGTGTGCCCTGGTCATGCTGTGGATAGATGGAATGTGTGTAGGAGGGTTTTTAAGGCATCAGGTTGCCAGCTTGGAGCTTCCACACCACCCCTAAAGCCATCTTAGAGTGACAACCTGTCTCCAAGCTTTTGTAGAGCTGCAGAAGCAGAGGCCTGACGTCAGCGGCCGCGTAGATCACAACAAAAATCTTAGTTTCTCTAAATTCTGATGTGATGACCACAATAACAGCAGCAGCAAAACAGGCAGGCAGGACAAAGAGGATCACATCATCACCTGGCATGGACTTGGTTCTGATCTGCCTTTTTGGAGCTTCCAATATAATGAATTCAGTCTTGAATGTGCAGCTTTAAACCCTTTTATGAAACTTTAACGTTGGTCTTTCTTTAATGCATGTTATATTTGCTTATGATAATAAAACTATATTGGATATTAAGTTGCACATTGTTGATGTGTGTCACTTTTTAGAATGTTTTATCTGAGTGACTAATGTATTTTTACCATTCTAACAGGATGATGACAGTAATTTCCACGTGGACTACGTTGTGGCTGCATCTAACCTGAGAGCAGAGAACTATGACATCCCTCCAGCTGATCGCCACCAGGTCAAGATCACATGCATCTTATCTACACAGATGTCTAGGGACAGGGATGTTTTAGTAGAAAGATGAAACTAATGCAGCTGGGGTAAGGGGTAATTTAAGACGGGGAATGGATAGAAAAGGTGCAGCAACAGACATGCCCCCCCCCCCCCCCCGGGTCATGTTTTTGAGTTGGCTCTTCACACACCTGCCCCAAAGCCATAGAAGCAGCCTTCTCACCTTTTGTTCCTGGTGCAGAACTAATCACAGCACTTTACCTGTTGCCTAGAAGGTGACACCTGAGCCCGCCGCTGCTGCACACAGATGGAGGTTTGCAGGAAGGGGGAGAGGTGAGGCTGAGTGAGGGGGGGACAGAAGAGTGTTGCCCCCTGTGTAATGGAGCAAACATTTCCACACGTCGTGTCATCATTTTAAGCCTGCTCACTTACCGTAAAATGTTGTTACCAACGCATTACATATCGATCATGACAGTGTTTTTGTGCCAAGGCTGTATTATGAACATGTATGGAAAACAAAAAGTAAAATGATCAAAATGTGTTTTGTGTAAAATGCACTTATCTGAATGCTGCTTCAGAGTAGTGCTGCAATATACCATGTGAATTGCATTTTTAGTCGTCTTGTTTGATCAGCAATTTTACCTTTTTTTTTTCTTTTTTTTTTGAACACGCTAAGTCATTTTCCTACTTCCATCTGTGACAGAAAAAAACTCATTAACTCCCTTTTTGGAGAAATGATGCATGCTTTTTGCTTAAAAGTCACCAAATGATGAACACAACAGTATTTATGTATTTACGCATGTTTAAGAAGTTTTCTCTAAAAACAGTGTTCACAATATATATATTTTTATAGTAAATAATTACAGATATCTAATGAGTAAATAATGTGTGATTAGTGAATTATCTCTTCTTGGTCACTTGTTTAGGACAGGGTTTAGATATTTTCTCTATAAATCAAACCTTTTATATTTACAGAATTTCCTCCTCCTTGTCTCCTCTTCAGAGTAAACGCATCGCTGGAAGGATTATTCCTGCCATTGCCACCACCACAGCAACAGTGGCAGGCCTGATGTGCCTGGAGCTGTTCAAACTGGTCCAGGGTCACAAGAAGATCAGCTCCTACCGCACAGCTTACCTCAACCTGGCTGTTCAGTACTTTGTCCTGTCCCAGCCAAGCCGCCCGCAGAGCTTTGAAGTAAGTAGTAGGCAACCCTAGCCAAGCTCGGGTAATGGCTGCAGGGCATTCAGGAACAACATCTATGAGCTACAGAGTCACACAAAACCAGAGTAAAGCACCTTTTAAGCTCATACAGACCCCTACTTTATATACAACCATCATTCATTTGGGATAAATCTGTTTTATTTAGGTGAATGTCCTTCCACTTTAGGTGGAGAGCAGTCATGAATGACTGCTTTCATAACAAGAGCATGCTACAAACTGTCAGTGTCTTGCATGTTAGCCCAGTATTTAGCTGGCTCAGCATAAACCTAAGGATATTTTAAAGCAAACAGACCTGAGCTTGTCTGTTTGAACACATGAGCTAAATTCAAGGTGACTGTAAAGCAACCAGAAAAAAAAGTGATTTATTCTTTAGGTAAACATGACCTTAGGCTCTGAGTAAATTTATAGTTTTATGTTTAGTGAGATTGAAAAGTCCCAGAGAGGGTCTCCAGAGTTGATTATTTAAGCTGTGGTTCACATCTATGAAAGTGTTAATTTTGCAGCTCTCTCACTGTTTTTAAAACGTACCATTTAATGGTCATAAGTGATTACATCCAAACTTGAAAGCTTCCCCCCTCATCCATCAGACCTCTGACAGGAAAAAGTCCGTCAGTGTCACCAAGTGGGCTCCTGTGTAACGTTGAGGGTGTGGTGTCGGGGGGTTTGAGACAGTCTAGGTTTGGTTTCAGGCAAAAATTCAGCATAGGCAGAAAAGAGCTGCCTTGACGACAGAAACCGCTGCTCCTCAGAGGCTCCAGACCTCCCCTGTTCTCCCATCAAAAGACACCAGTTTCTCGCTGTTCTGGCTTGAGGAACTTGTTTATGTTTGTAATATTACAAGTCTAATAGAGCTTGCTTGGATCTGCAGCACATTTCCAACTCAGTATGGATCTGTGGAGTAGATAATGATATGCCATCTGTTAAAGGGTGCATTCATTCTGTTTGAGAAAAACATAATGGTTTTCAGACCCAGCCTGTTGTAGCTTTTATTAAAACATGGTAAAAGTTTTAGGATTTATTTTCAAAGAGGCCAAACAGATAGTAAACAGCTTCAGAAGAAAAATGTTTGAATTTGTTTCTCAAAATTACCGTATTTGCCAGCTTACACGTTGCATTGCCATATAAGTTGCATCAGTCCAAAAATGTCTAATAAAGTGAAAAAAAACAAGTCTCTTTGCCATTTAAGTCACATCTATTATGCGTCACCACTGACTCGTTGCGTTTGATACACGTCACCGCTGACAACCTGGAAACGTGGGCCGGTGTTGTGCCAAAAATCAATTGGCTGCCAAATGGCGGCCGTGGGAGTGTGACGGGAGGACTTTAACACTAATTTAATCATATTAACACTTAAATACAATTATTTGTTTGCTCAAAAAATTATAGCAAAGTTGTGTCTCAGTGGAAATTTTCCTTAATAAATGTACTATATTGGTCAAATCAGCTGCATTTCAAGAATCGATTTGTGGCTGCTGGAGCGCACAGAGGGAGGACTCGCTTTGTATTTCTTCAAAATTTAGCAAGATAACTACCTAAAACAATTGTTTGTTGGCTTAACATTATAGCAAAAGTGTGTCTCAGTTGAACTTTTCTTTAATAAATGCACTTTAATGGTCAAATCAGCTGCAGTTCACCTGGGCGGTGCGGCAAAATGCAGCTGATTTGATGTTTGCTCCAAGAATTCCGGAGCAAGATGAAGATGGCTTTATATGGCAAGCCAAGTGTCTTATTAATAGCCATTTTTACCTATTAATGAGACACTTGGCTTGCCATATTAGTCGAGGGCCTTCTAGCAGCTGACTATGGTAGTGTTCAATATTTTCCATGTCAGAATGAATGAAATTGTCAGCTCTCAGCCAAAAATTGGTTATAAATATGGGGAAAATGTATATTAGTCGCTTCAGGGTATAAGTCGCTGGACTTGCAAATTTATGCAACAAGGTGTGACTTATACTGTGAAAAATACAGTACTCTTAAATGACAAACACTTGTACATTTGTATTCATCATTTTAAGTGGACAGTGATCTCATTTCTGTCTTCTGTATATTTGTGTTGCGTTAGCTCTGTGAGGGGTTATAATTTTTATTTTTAAGGGTCTGATAGATCCACAACACTAATGAGTGGATAAGAAGGTTGTGATGGAAAATCTGTCATTAACTGCAAAAAGTTGGGGAGACAACATCTGTTCCACATGCTGCAAAATTCAAGAAAATTTGTCAGTAGAGGGACAGCACAGATAGCAAAACATTTTCATCAGTAGCATTGCTTCTTTGTAGAGCCAAACTCAGAGGTTGGATGGCGCGGCCCCCCTCAGTCTGGCAGATGTGTTTTTTGTCTGAAGCCTCAGAATTTCTCCAGATAAGACTCAGAGAATGTATACGTTCTGATAACTCTCTGAACAGACAGCTGTGGAGCAATAGACATACTTTAAATGTTGGTTAAAAATGTATTCTAATCACATCACTGCAAAGCTCTTACTGCAAAAAATGTTCTACTCCATGCGTACTCACCGGAAGCCCACGGTAGCAAAACAATTGAGCTTTTTATATGAATTTTACATGAATATATTAAACAAGGCTACTGAATACTTGATAGGCAAATGTGCATAGATTTAAACTTGAAGAGTATCAGCAAACATTGAAAGTTTAATCATATTTATTTATTTGAGTTTTCACAAATTTGAGTTAGACGAATGATTGTTAAGAAAAAAAAAGTTTCATCAAGTTTTGTTAACACTGTAAATGAATCCTAAAAAACAAAATGTTAAAATGGTTAAATACTTCACTGATACCTGCTCAAAATGGTTACTGGTAATAAATGCTGCTTTTCCTTAAAAACATCATTAATCATGCAGATAGTACTTTTATTCTGGAAAAAAATAACAAGCCGAAGTAGAAGTTGAAGAGAAAGTATTACATTTTAAACAAATTTATTGTGTCATATTCAGCCCAGTAAATATAGGAATGTTGTATATTTTCTTAAAAAATTGTATGTACTGGATACATACATATGTATTGGCTTGTCATCTACTGGGCTTAGCATTCTTGATTAAAATTCTAATTGGATAAATATCAAATATTTTTCTTGAAACTAATTTACAACTTTTTATTTTAGTCTTTGTTTAATAATTCAATTCTAACTTTGTAGATAATATTCTGTTTATTTCAGATTGTTTTGGGAAAAAAATTACTAACGTCACATTCAAAATCATTCAGTTTTGTTCATCTCAGTGAGCAACAAAGCAGTGATTCTGAGCAAAAATGGGGTTGTCTTGATTGTTTCATGATGCTTTATATTAACAGATGTTGGCAATATTTGTCAACATGTCCACCCAGGGGGCATCCTTACCAGATGCCCGAACCACCTCAACTGACTCCTTTTGATGTGGAGGAGCACTGGTTCTACTCCAAGTCTGTCCCGGGTGACTGAACTTCTCACTCTATATAAGGGAGAGTCCAGCTACCCTGTGGAGGAAACTCATTTCAACCACCTGTATCTGTGACCTCGTTCTTTCGGTCACTATCCATAGTTTGTGGCCATAGGTGAGGGTAGGAATGTAGACCGACTGGTATACTGAGAGCTTACAGCTCAGCTCCCTCCTTACCACAACGGACTGGCACATACTCTATAATACTGCAGGCACCTGCAGAATTCTGTCTATGAAAGTTATGAACAGAATCTGTGACAACAGGCAACTGAGCCCTGGCAGAGTCCAACTTTCACCATGAAGGGGTCCGACTTACTGGCAATGCGAATCAAATGCTTGCACCACTTGTACAGGGACCGAAGAGCCCGTAGCAATGGGCTCCGAATCCCGTATTCACAGACACCCCCCCACCCCCACCCCCCACCCACAGTGTACCCTCAGGAATATGGTCAAACGTGTTTTCCAAGTCCACAAAATACATGTAAATTGGATGGGCAAACTCTGATGACCAGTACGTAACCCAGACCTTACCAGAGAGGCTAAGAAATGTGATACCCCTATAGTTGGAGCACACCCTTCGGTTTCCCCTTTTTGATTAGGGAACCTGCGAGTCCAGTGGCACTGCCCCCAATGTCCACGTGATATTGCAAAGGCATGTTGACCAAGACAGCCCCACAACATCCAGAGCCTTAAGGAAATCAGGGTGAATCTCATCCACCCCCGGATCCCTGCCATCGCAGAGCTTTTAACTACTTTGCTGACCTCTGCCACTGTTGAACAAACCACCCTCGAAGTCCCTCGACTCAGCTTCCTCCATGAAATGCATGCCGGTGGGATTGAGAAGGTCCGAGGAGTATTCCTTCCACCTCCTTAAGACGTCACTGGTTGAGGTCAACAGCACCCCACCTTCACTGAACACAGTGTTAGTAAAGCACTGCTCTTCCCTCCTCAGCCACATGATGGTTTACCAGAATCTCCTCTGAACTAATCGAGATTCTCTATCCAAGGTCTCACCAAACTCCTCCCACATCCAAGCGTTTGCTTCAGCAACAACCAAGTCTGCAGACCACTTGGCCCCCCAGTACTCCTCAGCTGCCTCCACAGTCCCACCAGCCAACAAGGCCCGATAGGACTCCTTCTTTAGCTTGACAGCCTCCCTAAACCGTGGTGTCCACCATCAAGTTCAAGGATGGCCACTGTGAGAAGCACCAGCAACCTTGGGGCCACAGCTCAAGACAGTTAGGGTACCTCAACAGTTGAGGCATGGAACGTAGCCCACTCAGACTCAATATCCCCTGCCTCAGCTGAGATATGGTTCAAGCTCTCCCGGAGGTGCGAGTTGAAGCTCTTTCTGATAAGTTCTCCTACTATGCATTCCCAGCAAACACTCATTATGCATTTGGGTCTACCAGGTCTGTCCGGCATCTTCCCCTGCCATCTGATCCCACTCACTACCAGGTGGTGATCAGTTGACAGCTCAGCTCCTCTCTTCACCCGAGTGTCCAAAACAGTGGGCCCACTACCTGTAGGATAGGAGTCATAGTGCTCAGGTGCATGACACCATGGGCAGTGGCTGGAGGCGGGGGCCTTGGCTCTCCGACCCTGGCTTACCAAAGCTGGCTCCTGGGACATGGATTTACTTACCAGTCTAGCTTGTTTCCATAAAATGCTGCTTACATTGATTTATTTCTAATTTATGGCCCAATATTTAGCATAAACTGAATAATGGCTGGTATGTGTTAACATTTGAAATCCTGAA